GCAGCGCGATTTCGAATCAGTTATCGCGTGAGCGTGCTCACACGAATCTGACCCGAGCCTTGCTCCGCTGTTACAAATCAAAGCAACGCTGTTGAAAGAGTTATTTCCATAATAAAATTCGCTTGATTGGCCCTACCGTCAGCTTCTACTTCAGCCTTTGTTACCTGGCAAGCAGTGACTCTTTCACTATTGCAAGTACTACTGCTGCTGCTGTCCATGGTAATCGTGATGGCGATCAATTGACGTGACTTGCACAGTACGAGCACGCCGAGGTGGTACTGGTTAGGCTGCTGCTTTACTTATTAGCGCTATTATATCGCCTTCGCCGCGTAGGTATCAGCTCGAGGCTGTCGCCAAACCCCTGCAGTATGCATGTGTGTGCTTGTCTATCCGTGTTTGTCGATCGGACACATCTCTCGCTTAATCGCAAGCTTTGGACTACGTAACATAACAGTGACTTTTTTTTTACGTGTCTCACCGGCTTACTTATCTGCCGCTGTATGTCCTATTGTTTAGACAATGTGCTATATTGGTCGGGCGGTAAAAATGGAATCAAAGCACTCGCTTCGCAAACGTTCACTGACTCCAGAACAAACTTGGATAACGCTGAACGCTACGATAGTGTAAAGCCTGAGAACCTTCAGCTATCAATCGGTAGCCAACAAAACGGTCGGCCCAAGTTCTTACATTTTGTATGGACATGTATATGGTGGGAAAGGGATCAGGTTTTGACAGACAAAGCCCATTTTTCAACAGCGAAGAGACATGATTGTTTCAATTGCAGAGATCACTCACGATTAGGGAAAAGGGAGAAAGGCTGACGCAAGTCGCGAGGCGGCATACACAGCTTTTACAGAGAACCTTTGAGGCATCATAATCACTCTATGATAAAATTTGGATATATACCCATTCAAGCTCATGCCGGTCATTTCTCGATGCCCCTAAAATACACAGATAAAAGCTTAGTGGGCAACTCGACCGGCCTGGGCCGGGTTCAAAATTGAAAAAGGATCCGGCAATTAGCTACTTGCTTAGATCTTAATTATTCCTACGTGCTTTCAACATGTAATATTATTATTATTATGTTTGATCCATACTATCCACCATCTGGTGCAGGAGGATAAGTTCAACAATATAAAGTAAGTGACGAAACTTAACATGTTCACCCCGTGTGATCATTAGTTGCCTGCTGAGAAGACAAGCAGACATAAGCTTATCTTCGAAACGGTTTCCCACACCTGTTAGTTCTCGGTAGACAGGTACCATCCTGTGCTGAAGATGTCACAACCGTAATCAATTGGAAGTAGCCAATTGTCTAAGCAGGACAACAATTATTATTTCTATTACTTAACGCATTCCGCCTAATATTCCGCAATGAGAAATCAGCTATGTCGTTCCCGCACGCATCCAAAGGACACGGTTTAAACAGTAGCCAGAGCAATACATCTGAAACCTTTTCAAGTTCCCATCTGATACGTTGTATCTAGTTATTTTATAATATTATACACGTTATTTTCATATGCGAATAGCATTTTTAATTAACTTGTCTATACTGAGCAAGAGCTTGCACGTTATGGACGATCCCGCTCAGACGCGGACGCTAGAACACGAAAACCGATGGATCTAGTTTACAAACATGATTTCTCACAGGAAAACTAAGTAGCTCTATCGGTGCAGTCATGATATGCATGTTAAAGTTCTGTCTGCATAAATCTGTACCCGTGGGTCAGGAACCCACACCGCGGTTCAAGCTTAGCAGCACCCTGTAGATTTTATTTATGGGGTACGACTTGCGTGCGGTCGACAAAATTCAAATAAAAATGCTGGAATTTACATTACTAGTCGAAGACATCGTTGATCATCCCCGCAAACGCTAACGCTAGATTGATCTGAATCGAAAATCCCTTGGGATGCAAATCGCCGTAAGACGTTCGTATTGGGAAGACAACTGTTTAGATGAGAAGTTCAACTTATGCGTATGTGAGCCTCTACAATCTACATATGTCAAACGTAGTTTTACTTGACATCGTAGGTCTTCAAACGGGATTCTGAAACAAAGCCAAATTGTCATCAAGGGTAAGTTAGTTCAAACAGAATATCATCCAATAGAGAGGGTTTCCGCTGTTGCAGGCTTTTTGCCTATTCAATAATTTAGAGCTAAAAGCGTTCACTGGCCATTTATATATTTTAACTAAGACCATCTCCTTATATAGCAGCTTGTGAAGTTTACGTATAATATAGTAGATTATTCAGCAGAGTCAATGACGTCGATATTTACTGAAGCGAGCAGTTAGTTGTTTGTCGCTTGTGCTATCTGCCGTTGTGACGTGACTCAGCTCTATCTATTTTGCTTTACATTGAGCGAGCGCTTACGCAGCGAAGCAGCCTTCAAAGCGCGCTACAAAAATGGCTTTACTTAGTACATCTTCAGCCTTTCTCGCAGACAAAATTCGAGCGTAGGGTTACAGCATTCACAATGACGTAGGAATCAACCTATTTTGACGGAATGATTGCCCTTAATTTCGCCGCCACCGCCGCCCTAGCAATTATGATTCAAACGCCAGTAGACGCCAGCCGGCGGTCACTAAGTGGCTTTATCCCGTTGGGGGAAGCGAGACAGCGGCTATCAGAGACGCCGGCAGTCGTAGCAAGTTTGCTTCGATGAAAATTTGTCTCGTTTTTTATTGCATCGCTGGTTGATTTTGAACAGTTGAGGGTTCGGCTATGACGAGCTTTGATATATCGTTGGCGTGGTGAGCATCTAGAATCGTTGTTATTATCTAGATCGGATTCTGTCAGATCACCAAATAAGTGAAGAGCATTGCTACCTCTGTACCGCTACAATGATAACGCTACCTATAATGTTTATGTAAATTTTTTTCGGGAAATCTAATGGTGAGTTTAGTCGTCGCAGCGAGCAGCGAGACAGGGAGTTTCGTCTTCCTGTTCATCTAACCTACCGCCGTCTAGCGCGGTCAGTACGATAAGCTGATCAGGAGTTACAGACTACGTGCTCCGCTCAGAAAGTCTCTGTGCAATCAGTCTGTGTATGTTAGATTGAATCAGATCCTTAGAAGCGTAATTTTGGACGATATCTTTAGGTGTCTGTTAACATCAGCAGCGCTGTTTTCAATGGACTGTTGTTTATGCCGTAGTAAAACGTCTAGTTTTTTATGGACTTGAACAGAAATAGCTGTTTCTTTTTTCTATAGATGTATTAAGCGTTAATTCGTGGTAAGTTGTTTGTTGTTTTGATAGCATACTAAGAGTTGATGCTTCTGGCATCGACATCGCGAAGTCGGTGTGCTGTCGCGCAGCGAAGACATTTCATTGATAGATAAAAGATTGCGGCCACCATTCGAGCTAATTTTATGTGGACAACTTTGCAATGATGTTAATTTAATATTGACAGTCACTTTCGAACAATCGTTCTCAATTAAACAGTGATCCGCTACATACTGCAGTATATCAGAAAATACTAGAATTTACAATACAATATAAGAATTTCATTTTGAATTTAATAATAGCCAGAGTTGAAGGGTCAAAGAAACATAAGCAATTAGATAACTAAAGAATCATTCAACTGTGAGGATGGCCACGGTAATAATATGCATATGTTCAGTGTTGAGGTCGCAATTTCGACCTTGTTTTTCTAAAAACTAGCAACCAATATTATTCTGTTGACGGTTTTGATGTTACCGATCTCCGAAACGTTTTTAGGTTAATCAGAGACCAGTAAAAAGTAACGTCGAATCCAAGTCAATTTGAGTACGGCCGTGTCTAGGTAGGAGGTAAGTTTATCAGCATAAATAGTAAATCGGGTTTTGGCGTATTAGGTGAACGAGACAGGATGCGTTGGGCTTTCGTCAGCCATATCATACGACAAATCCACCGCGTGTACATTATAAACACTGTTACTGGCCTGCATTTTGACCAAGTCCTTGGGAACATTAGGCACATAATAAATAGTAATAAACAATGAAGTGGCTCAAAGCAGACCGCTCAAAAATGTTCTTCAATGATAAACACAAAATTCGAGCGTTAGAGCAATTGTAATTAAATGAAGTAAGGGCTCTTCGTTATGATGCATGATGAACTCATTACAATATCTGGCTATTATCGAAAATGGTCATACAAAGTTACTGCTGCCTATTTTTTGGGCCTGGATCACCGTAATACCTTTTCGCGTTTGTTTTGGATGACATATTCTCTTTATCCTATTTAAGAACAAATCGGATTATTCATCAGCGTAATTTATCGAATTCTTCTTTAAGACAGCCAAAATTAAGAAGTCGTACCTAAAGGCAGGACGACCACCATTCACAGTACACTGGGGCATTTTAGCCCGAATTTAACATTTAGCCCGAATAACGGTTACCGAAAACTGCGACACCTAGATCATCTGTCCGCTTCGTAGAAATTCTCGTCTTTAATGAAACGGCCGACATGTCACAGCCCGTACCATTATTATTATTACAGAATAATACATTATGTTACAGGCTAAATATCATGAAGTTTAGACAAGACGGCGTAACGAATATGTAACATCCCAGACTGTGATTTAAAATGGCATCATTATCCTTGTGTAAGTCCTGCTCTCGGTGACGGTAGATTCCGCAGTAGGGATCCTACGTCCTCGCGTTGCATGGACTCTTACCATATAAGAAAATGTATTTTTTCTGTTCTTTCAATTATATTCTATAGCAATAAATTCACTTTGAAGCTTATATAAATGATTCGAATGCTGAACACAATGAAGTCATAATTGTGGAACATACCACCTAATCTATACCAACGAAGACCATGTTTACTAGACTCTGTGCTAAACGTGTTCTTGCTCAAAGGTCAGTTTTGTCAACAGTAAAACACGCTTGAGACAATCCATCGTCAAAACACTCGCCTATCAAGATGCAACACTATCTATATTATTAAATATAATCTATATTATTAAATATAGATTAATTTCATGTGTACTGTTATTTTTTTGGTTGAATTTTCAGTTTTAGAACATGAAGTGAATGGATTGCCAGTAAAACCGGGTTGCGACCCCGATAAATTGGACGAATGCGGCTCAGAGTTGGTTATTTTTGGAACAGGACATCGTATTCCAGAAACCGAGGATGAGCTTCGCCAGCAGTGCAGGTACACTACGCAGTCCTTTTGATTTCGCACACTTCACTATCACTGTGTCGGAATGACAGGCTATAATGTCAAATAGATTTTTGTTTGCGATGAATTTCAGTCTATGCCCAGAATCTCTATCGAGTACGCTAGAGGACTAGTATCGGCCCTAATAATGACAGTGTTTTGAAGGGCTTAGCAGAAGCGTAACAGATAATAAAGCTAGCTAGAGATATCGGAATCACTGATAATTACGCCGTACACAATAGCTGGCGCAGTATATATAGTGAAGCAGGGAACGCGTGGTCCGAGATAATTTTTACATAAACCATCACTACACTGTTATGAAGAGGCCTCTGCAAATCAATAAGGTAACAATGCAGTACTATTAACACGTTAGTAAAAGTAAGTATAACTTTATAGTTACCATAGCCTTTAACACCTTCAAAGAAATTTCTGAGTGTCCACATAAAGTTTAGGCTTGGCTAATACATTGTCGTCGTAACAGGCTTTTGCGAAGCATCAAATCTAATTGGTTATAAGAATTAGCGATCTCAAATGAAAAATCCGAAATATCTGTACTGTTATTCCAAATCGGACCATCAATAAACTTTCCACCCATCATTTTCATCAAACGCTGTAATATTTCAGTTTCCGTTCGATCCTAACAAAAAGTTATTTTACACTAAACATAAATAATATTTTGTAAAAAAAGATCGTTAAAAATAAGCGCACCTCTCTACTTATGCTTTCATCAGCCGTAAGTAGTAACGCAAAGAGTATACGGGACGCAAATACACTTCTATATGTATCGTAATATAATCGGGACAATTGCCCTTACGCTCTCGACCACTAATTGTTACTGTCGGAGTCGTATCCAATCATCATCAATTGCTTACGGAATTTCCTGGTATTTCATTGATTTTCAATTTCAAATTCTCAGTTAACTTGATGGAAAAGAAGAAACTGGCTCCGCCTTATTTTTACCTTAACCCTTTGAAAAAAAGATAATTAGCAAAATCGATGATCGCTGCTCGGTGTCCTTGCACATTGTACAAATAATTGTTCATCTATAAAAATCCCTTGACAACCTATTGCCATTTAAAACATTTGCAATGGCAATAGATTTGTCTGACCATGTTGCCAAAGGGTAGGATGTTATTACACTAAGGTAGCGTTCAGGTGCTAAGGAAACAATTTGGGATTTACATCAGACAGTTCATGGCCTCGAAATGCAAAGTCGATCAGAAAAAATGGAAACCATCAGTAGGACTTCCTAAAGGAACGATTAGCACACCGCATTCCATAAATGTGGCCACTTTTAATAGGTGATTCCTAGGGATATGTGTAGCGTTCAGTCAGTTTTAGAGTGGGTTGAGACAGTTTCCTTCTTTTACCTCAAATGAGATCTTTTCATCGAATTTCAGAATTAGTAACAAAAGTATGTACCTTAAGTGCATAAAAAGTTATAATTTACAGTCTTCAACATGGCTCGTTGGGGCTTCTAACGTGCAAATTATAATGGACTTTGTGAAGGCAATTCTTGTCTACAGTTTGTCATGTTTTCTTCAATAGGTGTGCTCTTTTAAAGTCACATTGTCAAGCAAGGTTCTTGTAGACAGATACAAGTACAGGTACGTTAGGACCTAACGATACTGGTGCACTTGAATCGAACAATTTAAATGTACCATATTCATTTTCGGTAGATACGTTTAGAGACAGCGGAACAAACAGACAGATTCTGGAACAAACTGATGACTGCAGTGGAGTATTTTTTATCTATTTAGTTCTCTCGGATCCAGTAGATGGGTACAATGTATTCTTAGGTGAGTGACACGAGTTAGTTTGCAGTATGTCTATATATTTCGCATTTAATATAGAAACAGATTTTCAAGCTTCTGTACGTAAATGCACAGCTAAAATCATAAGAAGTTTCTGCATGGTCAGCCGTCTTCAAACTTTTCAGTAAAGCTTGCACATGTCTAAGGTTGCATGTTCTTTCAGCGAAGTTTTTTTTGGAGAGAACTGGCCTTATTTCGAATGTAATGTTGGATGTATCATAAGGTGTTCTTTGATATTCTTTAATATATTATTCCACGAGACCATTATCGGTGATTGGTAGGGAAACAAGTGGTACCGGAATGGTCTAACTGAGAACTATTAAATTTCTCATATTCAATGGTGTATCACAGAAGTGAAGCTATAAACACTTCGCACCTGTAATTTAATGAGAAGTAAAACAGCTTGTATGGCTTTTCATTTAGAGTTTCCGTCATTTTTCATCGAAAACTGTTGCCTATCATTGTAAGAGGATACAAAAGCCGAAATTGTCTGTCTCATTTTATTGCTTTGTTGTACGAAACGCCGAAGCTACCGGCACAATCAATTGGTGTTTAAAGTTTTCATTATATTGATCAGAATCATCGACGACGATGAAAGCTTAAGAAAAGGCAGATTTATCAAAGTACAGTTCTACTCAGAAAGCTAAATGTAGTGAAATTTGTTAGATGTTAATCGACTTAAGACTCCTAAATGTTTTAACCATGTCTAATATAAAAAGGCCGTGTCCATTGTTTAGAGGAGGCATGTAGGGACCCACATTGATTGTGCTTGTTGAAAAATATTTTACTCCTTAGAGGCATTTGTGGTTGTAGCAGATACAATATTTTTTTTGATGTTCGAAAGGCTGTATCAATAATAAGATTCATGCTTATTAAAATCTGTGAAAAAAAAAAGACAGTCTGGGTACTACCAATAGACTCAGATTCGATCAATCTTGCCTCACATAGCATTACAGGGAAATATTTTCAAACGGATTTTTGCATATAAAGGTGTTAGCTTGCTACTCCCTGCTATAGTACATTACAGATTGACAAGGTATCGGAAAGCAGGTGACAGGTTTCTGGCATCAATATTTTGTAGCACCGCCTCTTGCAGCTGTAATTTTCGCCATCTTTTGAAGCACGCTTCTGACGTAGTTCTTCGCTGTTTCAGATATAGCTGGACCCTATTATCATATAGTAATAATTTTTAACGGAAATCTAGAACATTCGTTATTTCCTGTCCTTCCCGAATCTGTGATTTTTTTTAGATTTTCCAGACGTTTTCTAAGGGATTAAAGTCCGACGAATCAGCAGGTTGCGGCAGCACTTGAACGTTATCGGTATAAAGTTGCCTAGAGACACGCCGAGCTCTGCGACGAAACGCCCCATCGTGCACGGAGACGTAATCAACGACATAAAATCATCCCACACCTGAGGCAGCATTTTGCTCTGCAGCAAAACCTTAGCCTATTCCTGCTGCTCTAGTATGGTCTGTGCGAAATGTATCATCGCGCAGTTTTTGTCCGGTCAGAATCAAAGACCAGACAGATCTTTTGTTGGATGTTTGACTTTCGGTATGACGCAGCAATGTTGCGAAGACCGTTTGGCAACACGTTCGAAGGCATGATGAGCGTTCCTTTTTCGAAAATTTCGAAATGAGATTTTAAGCAATAGACTTTTCAACGGTCTAATTCTTGCCTTGGCCACTCTACTGTTCTTAAACCCAGCTGGTTTGACGAAGATTAGTTTTTGAATCTGCTTTGAAAAACATTATGCGAAACGAACTGGCCTTTTTAGAGCTCGTAGAAATCACACGGCCCTTCCTTTTCGTAATACAGTTTCTTGGATCCTTTCTCCTCAGCTTTCTAGCAACGTCGGCGACTAGATGCTTGAAAGCATGGAACATCTTAGTTTTGCGTTGTGTATATTTATTAGGATGAATCAATTTGCTAATCAGTGTTTTCTGCTCCTCAGTGATATCTGGTCCTCTTCCTGTTTCAGCGGCTCGCGTACGTTGCTAGAAAACACTCGAACCACTCGGGCCCACTCAAACACCACCACTTAGTTGCTATACAGTGTGCTATATAACCGTAATGGTTAGATGGTGAGACAGAACGCGCCAGCTGTAGCATAGTATGAGGTATTAGCATGAAACGTGAATGCTGGACCATCTAAAATCTCTGAAATCCGACTATAGATATCCTAGTCCTTCTTGACATTTAGGGTACCAGTGTAAATATCGAATAATACTGCTTTTATAAGCTATAAACCTATCTATAGTGATGATCTCACTCTAGTACAGCGCGATTGCCCAGGAAAATTGAAACAATTTGCTTAATTTTATCTGCGGCTGTTTAATTAAGTATCGACCGTATAATAAATAGAAGTGCCTGAGTCTCTCTGTGTCACTACTAGATCTACCGCGATCACTTGGCGAATACACAAATGTTTTACTTATTGCTACGATAGAGATTCACGTTGCGAGAGAACCGGGTCTGCTACATGGTCGCCGTTCATATTTAAAGGATGCGAGGGCGGACTCTAGAATACTGGAAAGGACCGCCCCGTTCCTATAGTTGAATACTACTCGTCCGACAGAATAGACCTTTACAACAAAAATGCAGTTTCAATATCTGCAGAGTTATCTTTGTTTACAGAGCAATCCAAAATACTTAAATCGATCACGTCACACAGGCAATGAGCAGGTAACTGCTCCCGTTGTAGATAGCCATACATGGATAGAAAAGTACAACAAAGAGACAACATGCCGCTTTACCATCGCTCGTCACTAAGAACAGTCGTGAATCGGCCTAAAAGTATACAGTGTTTTCTGTCTGCACGGTGACGTATAGGACTAAACCTTTAGTCCTGTGCCACCGACATACACAACGCTATACGCACAATCACATAATAAAAGCAGACGTCGTTTTTTATTTTCCAGTTATTATAGTATATGAAAATGTTCTCAAGCTGTATTAAGCACAATTTTATGTATTGACAGGTAAATTTTACTATGGCAAAGGCATCTAATGATCTCGAGTAGGTGAAGCTCACCAATCGTCTCAAGTTCATTTGTTTACTATGTTGGCCGCTCCTTTCAGAATTGAGCGGGAAGCTGAAATGTGCGCCCGTGAATTCGCTAAGGAATGCCTCCCTCCTCTACCGCGGGGAATGGTGATCGTTATACTCGAAGGTATCAGCCAAGAAGTGACTTGGAAATGCAATCCGAACCACACTCTTCATCATGGTGAGTATATTTTCGAATTTTTTTTTCCATCTACATTCGTTGTTATTACGTGGAGCGTGTAGTGTCTGTCCCACCTTAACGACTAGAAAATGTAAGACGAACTGTTTAGCAAAGAACGTAGACACTTCCCTTCTATCAGTGACTACAATGCCCAGTGGTTATATAGGACGTAAAACTTAAAGCACTTAGTAACGTCATAGGGAAAACTCCTCGAAACAGTTTAGTAATGCGACCATGCTATTTTCTTTTTTAGATTTATCTACGAGATTTCTTTCGGTTGTTTTGCTTGAGCGGAAAAGTATTTGTGTTCATGGCCTGTTGTATGGATATAATCGTGTTTCAGATCAGTTGACCGCGCAAGGAGCAACACGTCGTCGTGTTGCTCTTTCATCGGTTGTGCCACTCAAAGATTTCAACTTGTAACGAAAATGAATAAATCTAGTCATGACATAAACGATTCTATAGCTCATTCAGGAAAATACGCCTAGACAAATCGTACGAACAACCTAATCTAAAAAGCATAGTATTGTTTTGTCGCAGAGGCTTGCCACTCAAATCAATCTAACATAGCCAAAAAAAAAAAAAGTATGACTCTATTCAATTTAGAATAGGACGGAAGAGAATTAGTACATTCAGTGTAAAAGAGTAAAAATATTGTAATATTAAGTATAAAAAAATGGTTTTGTACGCGCGGGCGTTGTTGATTGGAAACGTTAATGTTTAGTTAAAACATTCCTGCATTTAATTGAAATTTTTTATTTTCTTCATCTAAACAAAATATGATTTTGTATTCCGATTTGATTAGATGTCTAATTCTGATACTTTGTTAGAGCTTATACCACTCATCACGGCACGGGTATACAAACAATTACATGGAATTAAGAGGTGAAAGCGGCGAAAAATGACGTACGCTGCGTAAAAAACCAAACAGTATACAGCTGTCAATATTTTGCTTAAAACTGTTTCCGCAAAATAAAAACACAGTTTTTCTCAAGAGCTGGTCTGAAATCGCTTTGGAACTAATATATTTGCCACATTTGCCTTCATTTGCCTCTCTTTGCATTTTAGCCCATAGCGACGAAACACGCTTCAACTGAAGGCCGACAACTTTTCTCAAATAAGCATTCAGGTCTTGGACTGAAGCAATAAATAATACGATCAGACCAACGTAAAATTGGAGTACCATTCCAGTTTCAGAATCTGTCGTATTTCTCTCTATATTGTTGTTTCCTCACGTAAAAGCCAGTTATTAATTTGTGGCATTTAATAAATGAAATTCTTAAGGTCTTATGTTCTAGTATCGTTTGATTATCAATATCCTTGACCGGAAAAAAAGCATAGGTCCCAAATCGGCTACAAAATGTGTTATAAAAAGTAAATTGAATTGAATTGAATTGAAATTTTATGCTATTTTCTAAACTATTTATCTCACTTCTATGGCAGCAAACCGTTTATTGACGCACCACAAATATCAATAGCGAACTCTTCTTAGTCATATACATTTATTAACTCGTCTCATCAAGTACAGCCGCCAAACTTTAGATACGTGAAGATCATTTACCAAACTCAATGAAACGTGCAAAGGAATAGGCGCAGTCAATTCGTTGTGTACGTAAACGCCAGCGGTTTACAATCGGTTGTTTTGTTGTTGTAAAGTGCGATGATATCGTTTCTTTACGTTTCACATGTGCGTGTTTTACATTGGAAACTTTCTTGTTTCTCTTCTAGTTAGATCTTATCGGTCATGGCTGATTGGTGTTCATATTTAGATCTTCCGAACCTCTATTGCATTTGAGATCGGTGTGGCAAGCTTGTGCCTATTTCATGAGATCCGTTAGTGCTCGGTGCTGTTGTTTTCTATTATTGCTTTGATAGATTTGAAGTATTCCTATTGATCCACTTTCAGATTTCATTCGTCATGCTTCGTGCATGAACAAGATCGGCCACACGCTACATCGCTGCATGACCAATCTTACCCTGAAGCTAGATTATAGTGCTGGAGTAGAGCCCCACCTTCGAGTTGGACGGTCATGCTGGTGAGTACTATACTATGCCATACATATTATATATGGCGATTAAGTATCATCAAGACTAGTAAGAACTGAAATCCCTTGAAAACGTTACAATTGATTGTAATATCGAAAGTGATGAAAAATCATTTTATAGAATTGTATGTAATAGGATCAAAAAGCTTCCATTATTAACAAATGATGATGACATAACATGATTGGTTTACTGCAATAGATAATATGATAGAATACATTTGTAATTCAACTAAATAATTATTATGTTAAATGTCAAATAATTATACTCGCGAACGCATAACTTTCCATGTATTATGAATCATTTATTTCTTTGGCCTTTGACACTAGTTTTCCTAATTTCCATAACGCTATACTAAATTTCAATAGCAGATTTAGAAGGGTCCTTGCTTAATAATCTGTTAGAGGGTATATATATCTATGTTCGTCTGTTCGTAAAAACAGACCCTTAAATTGAGATACCTATATTACTGTAAGAGTTATCCGTAAAGATGCCTGCGAAATTCGGCCTCCTTCGAGCTTCAGTAGACCACCGTCTCAGCAGTGTTATTTTCTGTATTAAACGAAATGTTATAGAAGATAGAACACATTTTGTGATACATGTCATCGTGAAATCGTACGATGGTCGGGTCAGTAACAACTAAATCTTCAGACAATGGAAACTTAAAAGACGGCTGTTTCCTCTCTACCGTTAAGTCGAGACTTTTAAGGTAGATACCGTGGGTTGAATAGTTAACTATTTGTTGTTGTTTGAATTCCCTTAGTTATAAAAGTTCGAGAACTATTAACTTCTAGTGATACTAAAATGTTAATCGAGAATGGGAAGTACGATTGCACCCGACAGCAAGACAAAAAATCAATTAAAAATGCCGCCCTTTAGACTTGAACACCGCTAAACCGCACAAGCAGAGTAACGATAGCCATTTTATATCACTAATAAAATTCGTTAATGTCACAAATCGAATGACATCTATCACTCGATCCATTTTTATAACATTATATTTACTACTCACTTTGCAGGGTTGTTTTTATACGAAAGACGCGCGTTTTAGGGCATGGTCTAAAGGAACGAAACAACGTCGTCGTTTAACAGACACTGAACATCTACAGTATAACAGAGATGAATGACAGATATCTTATATGTGCAGTTAACTTTGCTCAACCTTTTTGATTGTAGTAATTTCCAGGAGTACATCACATGCTCATCAAAGGCCGTCGAGAAATCTTGCGGGAAAGAAGCTGGCGAATATATCCGAAAATTGTTGACGCGGTCTGCTGGCGACTTCATTGAGATTGCCTGCGTAAATCATAAAACAGGTATAACTGCCATTTGGCTGCCATTCCTTCTCTTAAATTTGATCTAATAATAAATCGGATTCGTTTATTTAGGACCACGATGTTTAAAGGTATTAACCTTGAAAAATCTCTACACTCTGCCAAGAGAAGATCTAGGGGAACGGATGACAAAGCTTTTGTTTTTATTTCATCCAATTGACTGAAGTAGAATGCGAAAGGTGCTGTAACACCAGATCAAAAAATTAATAATAAAAAGTCGTCATCGAGCAGTTTTCCTAACATAACAGGGAACAGCAAAGTGCAAATTTGAAGTCACAATATTTGTTGAATTTATCATAACCAAGAGCTTAGCTTCAGTCGCAGTACCGGATTACTGTTTTCATAACTGTATTTATCTTCTTCTAAGCGAGGACTGAATTTCAATTCTATTTGTTTGCACCTGTTCTTTGTACGTAGATGAAGCCAAAATCCTAGCTTTGCTTCACTATATATACTGTTGAATCAATTTTCGCCAATCATTCAAATACACATGGCTCATTATGCGGGTTATTTATTATGTGCGTATATCACTTTGAAGCACATACATGCCATAATAAAATCCAATATACATTTGTTGCTTACATGAATGATAGTTTCAGCGTATTTAAGTTAAGCTACATAAGTTGATCTTTTGGCGTCTGTTTATTGTAAGTAGTTCACTTACCTATGTGTGAGTAACATATCTTCCAAGGTTTGACTTTTTAGCAATATGTCCTAAAGAGTTCACTCGGCAAAAGGGAGTCCACTTGTCGGAATAAGCCATCAAAAATGCACGCCCTTTAAATGTTGAAAAGATCAAAAATTTATTGCTCAATAAATTACACCAGAATCTAGATTCAACCTCTACGGGAAAGAGACATGAAACTTATGACTTTCGAAGAAAATAAGTTTAATTAATTATTAAAGTTAAACATTTTCTTCTTAAAAATATGGTGTGGTTACAAACGTAAAAAAACAGCAGACGTTAACATAACCCCGGATACATTGTCGCTAATAGGTCGTGTAGTAGAGGTTTGTTTTATAGCAATACAACTTTGAGACACTATAGCATATATATCCCTCCATGTTTCGAATTTTAAGTTCGGTATCACCGTTAGGCATTCCGTCAGACAGCAGGCTCTCAGCATGAAACAAAGCCTATCTACGCCTGATTTCAAACGTAGACCAAGTGCCTAAGATTAGCAGTACGTTACCTATTAATCTATGATGGAATGCTTAACGGCGATACCGGACGTAACATTGGAAACATAGAGGGCATATCTATCTAGCTCATATATCGGCAATATGCTGGTCTATAGAATTAATCTTATTTAGAGAATATTGAATTTAGACGGCACATAACTAAGAAATAGGATGCAAATGAAAAACGGCTTTCTCAGGATACCAGCTAGTAACTCCCATTGTAATAGAAAACTTTATTAAGAATATATTACATTTTGAGTCTCAGTAATTTTACTACGAATATCAGAATATGTTTTTAATTGGTACAGCTGGGACTGCCATGTCATTATTTTATTTACAGTTGGATGAGGCCATTAAATGAATTATTAATATTAATTTTCTAGTTGAAATATACAAATAAATGATGACAATGCATGGCGAACATTAATTAATGTTCGCCAAAATATACAAGCTTAGAAGTGGCAACTAATTTAATTTTATCTGTAACCTACCTGCAAATGCCAGACGCTCCTGCGTGTCGGAAAGTGAACGCGCAAGGTGGAATTAGCTCGAACAATGTCAACTATCGCATCGGACAACTGAATGAGGTATTAACCGGAAAATCTGCCAGCTTTTATAAGTTATTATTTTTAGAATGATGCCAGTTTGATTAAACAGGATTAGAAATATAGAAGTACAGAAAATATCGAAAAAAAATGCTTTAACCTTTAACAACCTGAAACATTTCTCAGATTCACTGTTTATCAGTTTACACGCTTGTATAATTAAAATATTCTCAACTTTCTTGAGGAAACAGGTGAACTCAAACAGGTCGATGTCGCTTCTTTCGCCTCTGGCGAAACTCGTTACTGCTGAGGGATAAAAAATTAAGGGCCGATAACCCTCATGAGTAACTGTCGCTCTCGATTTGGATTCTTGAAGGTAACGTTAATCTGGCAAAATGATTTATGTTCCATTTCCGTTATTGGACATTTTAACGCATTTATCACTACAGGAAGTGTGTCCACCAGAGCTATTATTTGGATATATTATGTGTCCTTCGTACAAGGTATATAAATTCTTCGGCATAATAAAAAATGTATAGTTATCAAGTGAAAAATCTATATTTCAGCCCTCATATGTATGCCATGCTACAGTAGGTATACACATAATAAAAACAGTTATGACAATAGTTAAATTTTCCGTCCTATTCAACAAAGAGTATGATTGCAGCGGTTATGTGTTTGTTTTAGATGATATCATTAGACCGGACTGCCAAACTGCCGTTTACGAGAAATACAGCGTTACCGATCCAGCCACACGATAGGAATTCTAAAAAGCCCCTTTTTTTACTACCTACGGAGCACTTCGATACAGCCACTCGAGCAGAAAGTTTTTTCTATCTGTGCGCTAAGAACTGCGAACACATACGTAGACCGACCTCTGCATTTATTACTATGCGGAACATTATAATATTATTATTATGAAATTATGCGGAATTCTTATTATTCCTACCGTCTGAGCTAAAGCCGTAATGACATGTATTATTAACGCGCTTGCTCAGCAGCATTAAGCGCATAGAGATGTCCTTTTGTTATTGACAGCGATAAAATATGGTTGGTAGCTGCGCTCGCAGAAATCAATTCATAAGTCGAAGTATATAGAGGAAGCTTCTTGAATGAAAAGTGGGCCTGAAGAACTGACAACTTACTGTGAACATTACAACTGGAGATGCGATTGTTATACATTCTCTCCGCTTGTCTAGTTAGTTATTTGTGTTTGTTATTGTTGTGTCGTCCTTTTGGAATAACTTCGAAAATACACAAACACACACAGAGTCTTAAAGATGTAGTAGTATTGAAGTATTTTGCTAAGTCTGTCTATCAAACCATGTAGCCTTCAACTTTATGTATATGTAATGTTACTCATGACGTCTTCGGACATTGTAAATATTAAATGACTGAATAAATGAATATTTCTCCAAACATACACATGTGTAGTAAATATTGCGTGATTTCTTCATTCGTAGATTAATTTAATCCGATTACTGCGCTCTGACTAGTTTAAGCAATGATAATTCAGCGTAACTATTTTCATCCCTTAACATGACTCGTACCCCACTGTTGTTAATGTATATTCACGGTTTTAATTAACAAGCTTTACATTGTAGTTCATCACGAAAATAAAGACAGAAAACGCTTTCTTCACATACGGGTGAATCTGGGCTCGGAACTCGCAGAAAGCCACGCTCCCATTTTATGCCGGATAATACAGTTTCAAATTTGTTTAAAACATTTCGCTCGCTCGTATTTATAAAAGTTGATTTTAAGGGATAAGTTGCCCATCAATTGGTTTATTGACGTTCTTTGAAATTCCAAGCTATTTTCCCCGTCTATCGCGCGTTCTTATTGCGGAAAGAAACTTTATCAGAATAATGGATGCAGACCGAACGAACAATATATACTTGTTTATAGTACAAAGCTTATAAGTTGATGTAGCTTCACATTTTTCACAATTCTTAGATTAACGCTACGCAGCCTTTTTCCAAAACAATTTAGCTGCATCTATCTTGATGCGTGAGATCTTAGTAATCATTAACACGCAAAACATTTCTCCCTCATGTTTGCAAGCTTTAAAAACACATCCCTGTAGAATAAACCACATGAATAAGATGTCGGGTTATTATTCGAAACTGCGAGAAAGCTAGGAAAAAAATGCAAAGTCAAAACTAGCCGAAAAATTTACACAATAAATGATGTAATAAATATTCCTATTGCAGGTTAAAAAAGGTAACCCTGTCTGTTGTTTTCATTGTTATTGTTGCTAGTCGCCGTTTTTCTATATTACTTATTATACACATCTTACATGCTCAAGATATCGTATAGAACACACTCAGCTATTAAATACGACTCAAACATAACGTAGATTAACATAAGCACGTCGCGATCTACAAAAAACAGGTCTTAAAACGCGCAATGGGTCTCCCACTTCTCTCTTAAAGCTATTCTTCGATGAAATAGAGTCAAAACATTTTGCAAGCTGTGTATTATTTTTTGTTTTGTTAAATAAACCTCTTTAAGCTTTGACGTTGCATTGGCTTAGTAAATCACTGAGTACACTCAAGTCAGGCAAACAACTGTTGTAAATAGTTACTAAGGAGATTTAACAACTATAGTATGTGTCACATTGACAACAAAAATACTCGTACGCGGATATAAAAAATGAAACAGTGTTTGTATTGTGTTCTTTGTCAGTTAAGCCGTGACACTGAACCAGTATTGTTATAGTACACGGTTTGATCAAATAAAAAGCTAGGAGAGCCATAGGAGATTTTACAGACATACAGATCATACTGTTGCGCTAACTAGTTTACGTAGGCTATTTTCTATTGTAGATCTCTTAGGGCTTCTTGATAAGTATTTCCAATGCACGAGAAGCTCTCAGTATTGACTACGATCATTGCACAAGTTAAACAAGTATTTACCCCCCTGTTCATTGATCTAATTGCAAGTGCGATTGGATTCCATAGCCGTTCACAAAAGCATGGGCCTGTTTTGTTTAGCGCCAGTGGTCGTAACGGAGGAACGTTTTCAAGTAAAATATCTCTCAGCAACACATCATATGCTGCTATATAGTTTATATTGCAATACTTCTCAACTGTTATCATTGGATTGTATGGCACTCTTATTGCTTTACCGTTATACCCTCTCTAAGTCAGTTGCCTGACGCAAAAATGAATGAACGCCTTTGTTACAAACTAAACTGTATCTAAACTCTGTCGCCGTCAGCCGTATCTAAATCATCTCTCCATGTTTTGAGTTCTACGTCCCGTATTGCTATTGAACATTCTATCAGACGGCTGGTTCCCAGCCCGCAACGAACGTCGAACAAAGACAACGTGTCCCAAGATTACCAGGCCAATACGTTACTCACCACAGTATCACGACGACTGCCGACATAGGTTACTCGTATTTAAACAAAGCAGTAATCAGAAGCACCGACAGCTCAACGATTTAACGCATTTTAATCGAATTAGCGCAGAGTGATCCACCTTTAGAAACAATTTTCTCCACTCCAATAAGCATCCACGGCATTGTAAGCTTTGGATGAGTCTTTGCGCCTCTTTTGTAACTATAATAATTAAGTAATTCGTAAGAGAATAGGTGGATTGTAGCAGAATGAACGGTGTTTGTCAAATAATGCTAAACAATCAGAAATATGATGTCCAAAGACATTTTCGCGCGTACCTTTGTTTCTGTTTGCTCCTACTGTTTTAGAGTCGAATGACTTTTTGGCCGACTGTCCCTGAAGTTAGACAATGGTGGACTTAGGTTTAAACAAAATAAAGACTTTTCCTTTGAAGCATAGCAAAACTCCAAGCGATACCCCTCCGATCCTCTACAAAATAAACTTACTTTATCTTTAGTTAAACCTCTCCGCTTTGGTAGACACAAGGATATTATTTCACAACGTTTTCTTTGGTCAATTGTAACCTATACATAATGAGGATTTCAAATCTGACGTATGTAGGTAAGGAACTGTGATCATTCTTTGCTGGGTTTAGCGCCTTTGAAATCATGTTTTGAAGAGCCGTTGTTTCGCTTTCTCTGTTTTTTCCTATCATTTGTGCTCGTAGCAGTTCAGAGGGCATCGGAGTTCGTCGTTTGCTCTTTGCGGTGTGCTCAGCGGACGGCTCATTGGCGCCTGCACGAGGCAGTGAAACAGGAAAAGGAATCTTCGTGCGTCTGCAGAATTATCTTATAATCTTTTCAGTGTACTTAGAGAAGTGTACGAATTTCGCAGGATGGCCTGCCCCGTCACAATGATTGCAGAAAGGCCGTTCCTCCTTGTAACCCTTGAGAACGTGCAGTTGTGGGCAACAGGGACCAGCGGCCAGTAACGTTCCGCCCAGGTCCTTTAACTACAAAGCTGTCCCAGACAACCCTTGTTTCCTCAATAGTTGTAGAATCCGTGTCCATAGGAATGCCCTTCATTAGATTTAGTCAGCAGGCGCTCATGGCAAGCCGCATCGACAGAGGCAGTCACTTGTCCCTAAATCTTTTGTATAAAAGCTTGGGAAGTCCTTACGCAAGACCCTTTCACGTGGATTCAAACGTTGCCGTTGTCCCTGTCACTGTAATACGTCTTGTGCCACTAGTTGAGAACCGTTGCAAAAGGTGTCGTTTTGTCAGCACTTTAATGTATCATAAAACTTGATAACTTATTCGAAAACTCGCCATTTCTTTTGCTAATCGTGATCGCTATATGCTGTAATTTATGATGAGCTACGCGGTCCATGATCTTCCGGACGAGACTATAATTTCCTATGCTCGTTAGAAAGCATACAATCTGGTTATAAAGTGCCCACTCAGGAAAAAGTTTACAGAGCGGACGCTTTTGTTAAAAAGGTTCCCACTTTCACCCTGGGAGACCCAGATTTTCTCGTTCTTTTGTCATCACCGAACGTCGCAATGGGTGGGATATTCCATATGTCAAGGTCAGGCAGTCTCCTAGCCCGGTATGCTGCTTCAAACGAATGGTAGACCAAAAGCCGTCTGAGCGTTTCCACCGAGTTACACGCTAACTTCTCCGTCGAACTACGCTCCGCGCGTGAGGGGCCTACGATAATGTCAGGTGTCTTTTGCGCAGTGAAGTGGCCCTAGCTCTTTGCAGTCGCAAACGCTCTTTTGTATAATTGGTTGCAATCCTTATCTTTTCCATCGAAATAATGCTTTGACTTAGCTGGAACTCTGGCGCTCCTATCCCAAGAAGCAGTGGGCAGTATGGATACGACTTAGCAGAGACTTGTGTAACTAGCTATTTTGCCTTGTAGCGTTTCTATTCTATGCACAGGCCCTGCAATAAAGAGTACCGGACCAGGCCGCCCTACCGAAGACATCTCCCTTTGCTACAACCATAAGGTGGGCGACTTCACGCCAGGGCAAATAAATAATAACGTCACCATACGTAACTGGAATCTAAGTTTCGCAGCAACCTCTGTCTGGCCAGCTGTTTCGAAATCACGTACTAATAGAGATACTCGTCAGTTGCCTAAAAGCGCTGTCTTCTCATTCTGCTGCTTCTGATCATTGCACTTCAGCGTCGGCTTCTAGCAGCCAACATCGAGCCGCACTACGGTTCTTTTAGAGAACCTCTCTTAGAGAGAAGACTTTAATTGGTGGGCTCAATCTTAGCTCGACTTCGATTTTTCTAAGACATGCAGAAAGTTTGTCTATCGATATATTTGCAATGAACGTAACCAGGGCTAAAATAAAGTTTCATAATAAAAATTGTATTTTGTCAAGGGGCGCAGGCATTTAGGTTTACATAACAATGACGACAGACCTCGCTATCTAAGTTCTGTCAAACGCCAAATTGCGTTGCGACGCCTAGAGATAGACAAGCTTCTAGAACACGCCCAGAAAATGCTCGCTGCACCTGACCTAGTGAATGCCGAAAGTTATACACAGCATTTGCTTGAAATTCTTCAGTTTACAGTACAGCCTCTTTGCTCCCCTGAAAACGCAGGCCATGCTTTGTCTGGGAAGTCCAGATGGTCCTCAGGCTTATGGCTGAAGCGCAGCCCGAGTTCTACTTTTAGCCTCCTCTTTTAAGATGATCTGTTACAAAAACGTATACACCACAAAGGTTAAAATACACTGAATGGCTGGAAACCTGTTCAGTAGCCAATTCCGAATGCCAACTATATAAATAACTAGCGTACCACAGTAACTTGCCCAATTAGCTTCTTGACCTTCATAAATCATTTCTTGGAGACGCTTCCGTCAAAGAATACGATACTACGCCCGGTGCCCTTTTCGCCGCAGGGTGCAAAGAGAGACATTTTTCAACAAGACTTCACAATGGGGGAACTAGTGCAAGGTTTTGGCAGTCCACGCAAAAAGATAGCCCCCGGTTCAGATAGGGTCTGTAATAGGCATCTTAAATGCACCATTGTTGTGACACCATGTGGGACGGCGCCATTGAATAAATGTTTATGTCCTGGTACACTCCCAACTCAGTGGAGAGGTGGGACTTTTTTAGGGATTACCATACATAAAGGAAAGGGCGGCTCGACCATCAATGCAAGGAATAGCAAAGAAATTCATTATAAGCTGCTGTCCGGCTTGCTGATCAATAAATTGAGAAACTGTTCAAACTAACGGGGCAATATGGATCTCGGAGACTCCCTTCGCAGAAACGGCGTGTAGAATCCTGATGGCGATGTCAAGGGAGAATCGGCATGCCGCGCTTCGGCTTCAAAGCAGCGTCGACTCGATGACAGAAAGAAAACTAAGCCCACACTGGTCAAGGTGGGTGTCCCTATGAATGCGTTCAACTTCCTCGCTGCGATTCTACAGAAGAACAGCACAACCATCGACGACGACGACGACGGGGGGGGGGGGGGACTCCCGCTTTTTACACAGACAACTGCCTTGGAATAGAAGAACAACCTCAATTCACTCTTGCTGCAGAGCTGCCTTGATCAAATAAGAGGCCCAAGAAAATTAGTCAAGGTCATCTTGTGCACAAATGGCTAAGTTATATACGGGTCAAACAAATTCTAAGCACAGTAGGCCGGTTCCATATGACAATCGCAGATTTGGGACTAACCGTAAACCCTATTTAGACGAAAATTAGAAGGAGAGGCAAAACAGCGGCCAATGACACTTGTACTTCGCCAGGCCGCCTCTTGCCTACGTAAACCTTGTTATGTACTTAGGGTTGCTTTTTTTCACAAATGGAAAAAAATTCACTGAGGACGTCATTGAAGAACGTGGAAGGGCAGTGGGCGATCAAACCGCATCATCGCTTGTCACATGCAGCCGCCTACAGCTTGCCGGTCTTCAAATTAGCTCCGATTGCATTATATAAAACATGCGGAATTTAGGAACATTTTACCGTGGAGAACAATGAAATCCCGTCAAAGCCTCCGTCCTCAAAAAGGACTGAGATTATACGCAGTGACTCGAAATTACCATTCATGTCGATTCGCCGTTGCTGTTAAAGGAATTATGTCGTCACTTCGAGTTCTTAATAAGGGAAGCCTTCAAGACAGATTTTAGACACTGGAAGCAGTGATTCACGAAAACTGAGAAGGAAGGAGAATTTCTGCTTCGGATACGATGAAAAACCACGCAGGAAATAAAACCGGTTAAACAGGCACGTTGCTAGCCCGCTTTACCGTGCACGAGTTTTACCGAAGACTTTGCAGGAAATCAGACTTTCACGAGCCTAATGATCCCCGTAGGCCGTCCAAATGCGGGAGAAATTAAGGTGCTAATAATCATGCGGCTTATTCCCCTCTGGTACCATCTTTAGGACATCTAACAAATTTCTTAAACTAATTTGGTAAACTCAATAAGGCTCGTATAACTCGTCTTACACAAAGCATTTTAAGTAGTTCCATATACTCTATTTGGCACTGAGATATTGTGTTGTTGACCTATTTACGAAGAGCAAATGTGAGCAAATAAAATTTGATTATATTGATCTAATAGCTTGAAGGAAATTTGAAGAAAAGCGCCGGGAAGTAAATGACACGGGACAAGAACAAAAAGAAGGAAGCAACTCTACCACCTTCTTCCCTTCGAAAGAGGAGAGCGAAAATAATGTTTCAAAACGATTCCTGGCCTCTGTAAAGGTAATAAACAGGATAATAATTTAGTGCAAGTATTATCGTATTTTACACTAAGTATAGTTCTACTCGTTTTCGAAAAAGTGAGTAAGTCTCACACTAGGGCCCGAACAAATAGGTTATTAAGAGGAAACAACTCCCAATTGCAAATAAATGCATCGCAATGCTCGGCCAAGCAAAGTCAACGTCAAACTTGCAGTTGCGTCCGGAGGCCAGAATACCCACGCAAGCCTGGTGCCCAACCACCAGCCGAGGTTTCACTGTCGACGCAATACACAGAATCTGAGATCCGAGGCGCGTCAAGTAGGAAGTTGAGCTTCCTGCGTGGCTGCCCAAGCATGACACGTCCCAACTGTGGAGGAAGTAAATATATAAAAATATTTCAAAATGTATTGAGTTAGTTCGAGCGGTCAGAACCTTACTACATGTCTCCAAAAGAAGCAGGTCAATACACAAAACCAGCCAATAGAAGTTTCGATCGAATAAACCAAAGTAATCTACTTTGCATTTTGTTGGGACTGTAATCCTCGAAGGTAATACTGCGGCACCTGCTCGCCTTAATGCAAAGCTCACGGTGTCAATCATGGCGCATCAACTACTTAGTTGCTGGTGATAAGCACGTTGCAGCAAGGAAGGCAGTCAATATGTTCGATTTCAAGAAATATGCACTACGGCTACAATATGTTAAACTAATCCGAATGGGTCACAATTAGTACTGCTACAATTAGTCCAAGTCTTGGTATACTCACCTACACCGGATCCACCCGGCTTCAGCTCAAATTTGCCCATAGATCATGGTACTGGTCTTGTTTTGGAGGCAAAGGAATCTGGGTGGACCCGTATAAGGCAGCCCCAATGGTGTCCAGTGTCTGAAATCGTACCATTTGCTAATTAGCCCCTGAATTAATGGAATTATTCCTGGAATACTTCATGAAAGGCAAGCTCGGCGACGTACAGCCAGAAGTTGTGTTTGTATGGTGCTTGACGCATGAGAAGTTCCAATAATTGCCATGTATAATAAGCTTTAAAACAAATTTGATGTTTGATGTGAGAGAATTATTAATAAAATGCATTATCGCACGAAAGAGAAAGCGAACCAAAGCTATTGTCTAATGCCAATAGCTACGATGCTTTTCAAGTAAGATCCTTTTAGGGTCTCTATGATTCAAATATAAGCAGAACCATTACGTAGTAGGGTTCAGTACGCAGTAAAACAAATCCGAGGACGACGGAATCCTTAAGACGACGGAGATAATTAGCGAACGCGTATCCTTTCTGCTGTGTGGAAACGAAACGTAGCGAACGTTTACCTTCGGGCTTTTTTTCATGGAAAAGAATTGCGAAAAAAGCTGTCTATATAGATTTTTCTTACAGCTTCTAATATGTCGAATTTATGTTACTTGAACAGCCCTTGACTGCAAGCTAGGGCTTTCGTATAAATTTTTTTAGTCAACTTATAATTCAAAAACCTTTCAGTTCAACGAAAAAAAAAAAAGCAACTAAATATGCTGCGCACTTAATTTAGAATTACCGCACGCTTGACAGTTTGAATGAGTTTAGCCGGTTTATGATTTTTCGCTTGATGAGTCACAATAGACTTTACTGTGACCCGCCAATGCCAACAATGCTTGAACAAAAGACTTGATACTAGCTTGAAGCGGTTAGATATTATCATGTCCACGCTTGGCTCTAGTAATAAATATGTATGAGTGACAAAACAAGGAAAAATGGAAAAGCTATACATTCGAAGCGTCTGTCCCATTTACTAAACCCTCTTCAAGCAGTTTGGTTCTCGAAATTGTGACCTGCTCTGAGCGTAAGTTGTCACTTTTTTTTTTTACAGACACAACTTTGTTATCGGAGGAAACTTCGCTCTGCATTGGTCGCCGTATTGACACTGGAGTTGATAACAACGTAAGCCGCAACACTGCTACAATAGATTTTTTATTTAAAAAAGTTAACTTGATCAAAAAAGTTTCCTTTGATAAATTTCGAGGATCACGGCTTTCGTGCGGGTAGTTAGAACATCGATGGTACTCAGTTGCGGTATCCGTCGAATCTAGAAAACACTCCAGGACCAGAGGTTTTGAAAATTGTAATGCATCGGTTCTATGTCTTTGGCGTTTCATGTGCCCTTAGCAAATATGGGTTTAGCCTTCCCTAGTAATGACGTGGCCGGTTTCTCAACTATACAACTTTTACTTTATTAATAATATCACCTAATTTTATACATGTAATATACAGATATTTTTTGAAAAGAAAAATGAGTAATTTTTCTCTTTTATTTGCTTCGGGTAGATACGAACGATGGATTTGCACAGATCGTCGACCTTAAAGGACCGATTTAGACGTTCAGTCCAATATAAAACCACTTCAAAAAATATGAAACCTATTTTTTACTAACTGATCGTAAATACTGGAATAACCAATTTAAAGCTGGACGCAGACATCGATCTCTTTAATGGTATTTAAATAGACTGATTCGTAACTACGATGATATGATACTATATCGTCGAAACCAGACTAGCCTGCCATACAATCCATAGCCGATATTGACTCGCTTGTAGTCTTAATTTAGGCTTTTTTTTAAAGCCACGAACAGTCATAGACTGTCACAAATTCAAATGCCGCAGAACCTGAACTTAGAACATTTGATATTCTAAGTGTCAGAAAATGTGTGCACAAATTTATGTATCTATATATATTACTTGCTATGCATAGACAATTAATTTTTTAAAAATGTCAGTATTTAAAGAAACATAGATCTTCATACATGTCCCACTGTTTCGACGTCTAGATCTTTAAAGCGCTGTCACGTAGACTAACTCAGGTTACATGAAAGTCGACTGATTATGCCAACAACTTATGAATTTTACTGTCACTCCGATAGAAAAATCCGTCAGATGTTACGATAGAAATAGAAATATTGCCTGACAATATATTCGGATACACCCAGAAATAGTCGCGTTGACGTTTTCTGACGGCTCCAAAGGGTACTTAGTAGAATATATCACAGTGACAGTTGCCCATGGATGTGTCAAAGAAGGTTATTGCGTATTGAAATGTCTGTAGCAAGCAGCTTTGTTCAAACGTCATAGAATGCTATCGTAACAAAAGTTCTTGCTGACCTTGATTCGCGCAAGACAATTTCACGTGCCTTTCCGGCCCAAAAAATATGCGATAGGACTATCATCGTGACAAGATATGAAGAACTAAATTGTAGACGAAAAGCAATTACGTGAACTTGAAGACAGGCAATCCGGCGATCCATTTTGTTCTTCTTTAGAGTAGACAGGTAATCTTCTCGACGATAATGCTTTGCATGTGAAACTGTTTCAAATTGAGTTTGCTATACTTTAGTAACCATATAAATTCTGAGAACAAAGGCAAACCCTTTGCATTTGTACGCATACGCATGTGTAAGAAGAATTAATTGTTGCTATCTCAGGAAAAACTGATCGGTTTTCTAGATACAAGCATGTAAGATGGCTATTACTAGTACTCATGCTACTATCACGCATAAATAAAGTTTTGCATATTTGAAAAGGACCACATTGGGAGATGAATGTTTATAGGTTACCTTATTGAGGCACTTCCTCAAACAGTCACACCATGCTTGAGTTTATTTCAGATTACTTTTGAACAGCTGCTTTTGTGAAAAAATTGTCGAAAATTAAACATGGCGACTTGGGGAAAAATTGAATGAATACTAAAGATTTAACGTTACGACATGCATTGGACTGAGTCCTTTAGCAGGTAAACGCTTGCGTGATATACCGTAACGCATAATTCCTTTTTCAAAAATACTTTAGTATGTACATTCATAAAAACTCAGTAAGGAAAAGTGCTTAAAGAATTAACAATACAGCATTTGTCGTAAATTGGAATCGGTCTTCACACAGATGGTTCCGTTTAAGTTTTACGTAATTTAAGGAATAATGCAAAAAAGTTATTTTAACGCTATTATCTATGTTTATAGGTCAGGTCATGTTAATCGTCTAACTCGCCTCTAGATCATACCATAGAGCTCTGTTCTTCGAAGAACGTAATAGCACAACTACGTGGCATTCTACGAGTCTATGCGTATCTACTTAACCTAGTTATTAATAAGATAAGTCATTTATTCATTATTCAGTGTGTACAGGTTGTCACAGGTCAACTAAAAGTAATCAGACCACAGTAATGAAAAATAGATAAGGCACAATTCTTTGCGCCATACTCCCTATCAATCATAACGTTATCAAATGCACCTTCAATTTAATTAAGCGAGCGTGCATCCCGCCATCTTAACCCCTACGCATATCAATTCATCTGATAGCATCATTCTTTTTTTCTTCATAACTATAACGACCACTGAAGATGTGTGTGTTTCCTTAAAACGAATAAATTACGATACTGACAGCCACCGATACTTCAATTGTAAAGCTGACACAGGATCGCAGTTTAAGGGAGTTTACATCACCATTACTCTCCGTTCAATGGTCATAGTAGCGAGTATTGCAACTCGTCTAAACGATGAAGATAGATAATACATATATAATGGAAAGATACTGCCGTCCTCGTTTTTGTTCAATATCTTTCTCCTGTCGAAATAGAAATACAGTTAATGCGTCAACTCGCACTGGCATGTACTGCTTTCTTCGTCTTTTCGTCATGTAAACTCCTCTCCAATCTGACGGGTACAAATAACCAATGTGCTATAATTATGACCGCGACGAAAATCGTATTCGCCATTAGCAGCCGCCGCACCAATGTGATGACACCGTGCAGCAGGCGGGGAGGGGGCACCTGAACACTTCGCTCAATCACCACCGTTATGCCCCATTCAATAGTAACAAAATATAATCACAATTTTACCATCGTGAACAACAGCGACATCTGCTGGCTGAGGTAAAGTTATAATCACAATAGTCGCTTCGTAGCGCAGGGGACGAGAACGGACGAAAGGCCTATCCGGAGAAAGGGGGTTGGTTGAAAAAGACCATTCGCGCACAAAAGTTAATTTTACGGGGTAGAAGCTACGACAGAACCGGCTGAAACGGAGGTAAGTCAACATAGACCAGAAAAGGTCGTGGCAAGGTACCGCTCCGCTGTGGTCAGCAACTGTCCTATGGTATTTTCTTATCACCCGCCGTATGGTGAAAGCCATACGAATGATAACATAACGCGCAAAAAAGGCTACTGTTATTCTAGCAGTATTTATAGTAGTCAATGTACTGATTACCTGAATAGTATACGAGCACTTGTTAGAGGCGAGACGAACGTGGAAACGGCTCAGCTAAAGACTCAGAAGATTTTGTGCAAAGCTGTTTATGAAGAACAGATGTTATATCCCTAAACCACATATTTATCCTGTATCTGACTGACATTTTCTGGTTTTACAGTAAAGCAGTAACTTCGCACAACTGTCACAGTCGGTTCGGCGTTGGTTCAACGTCATTAATGAGCTTCATTATTAGTAGATATTAATGGCCTCGTTAGTAGTTGTAGTAGTTATTTGCGGTGAAGTCCCACGCAGGACTTCTTTGAACATTTTCAAATTTACCCGTCGCAGGAAACAACAGGCGCGGAGAGTAGACGTGCCAGTCGCTTATTGATCTATATTACCGCAATTGAACGGCCGCAAGCCTTTACTGCGTCGATTCAAAACCCTGTTAGTTTGCTAGAGACGCATAGTAATTAGACGATGTGTTCGGCAACGCTACTTATGGCTGAATGACTATCGAGACTTTTCTGACTATGTTTATCTTGTTCTGTTGGCAACTTTGTTTACAAAATGAATGCACCTAGCATTTAGGCATGCGATTTGAATATACATTTCGAATTTATTTTGACCTGAATATATCTGAGTCGGTGTTTGATCCAAGTTACCAGCCCAAAACTAAGCGTATCGAACTATGATGAGAATTCATTAAACATTTATATTATGATCTGGCATTGTTGTGTTTGCTGTTTTATATATGATTATAGGATCCAAGCACAGATGTTACGCAATATATAGCAATGACAAATCAAGCTTAGTTAGTTTTTGCTACAAACGGAGCTAGCTTTTTACGAGTCCTGTACTTGTAAAAGAAAATAGGACACGACAAGAAGATTTTTCACAAGATCTCCTGCTTACTCCGCTAATAAACTACTAATGTAACATAGTATGTGGTTAGCTCTAGGGAACAACGCCTCGTTTATTATATTTTCCAGAGGGCTTATTCATTATGTTTTAGCCATTCACGCTAGTGTGGTCTGCCGCAACAAAAAGTACGCACCGACCAGCTTGTCATATGTCCTAACAATGGATCGGTGATTAGATGTTTACTAGTTAAACGTTACGGTAGATAGTACTAAGGAAAATAGACGAATGTTCGATGTTATTCTATAGACCGTTGTTTACGGTCCGGGTCAATATTTGTATTATATATGGATGGCCTTCTTTAAGCTACTCGATTCATTAGATGAAGAGAGCGACGGAGCAATTTGATTTGTGGTACAAATTTTTCTCCGGATTTCGGCTTACGGACCATAATATATTCGTCCAGAGAAGGTTTGGATAAGGGAGCGTTTTGAGTAACCGTGTGGCGCATATAACCGTGGGCGTGTGGATATCAGATCTCCTCCCAATTTGCTCCAGATGATGGATAAATCAAGAATCGAAAACCAACTGTATGATCGTCTGCTGCCAACACGTTCCAGCGCAATGTAGCTACGGAACAGTTGTGGTGTCACGCACACCTTTCTTTCTTCTATTTGCTTGCGCAGTTGAAATATAGCTTACATTGGCAATGGTTTGCTCTGTTCCCTTCTACCGTCTCTAGCAATGATGCTAATTTGAACGCCTTTATGCTACCTAAAATAGCGGTAAGGAGTTCGTATTGTAGCAGAAGAAGCAAAGCAATAATTTGCTTATGGCACAGTTACAGGTGGACGATTGTGGCCGTGTTATTTTTGTTTTTGCCGTTGCTGCAGTTGACTACCGCCATCTAGTACTGTGTGCGCATCTATACGGATCATGTTGTTGCTGGACCGTAATAGCAGTCTTAGTGCGGCCGCTGAAGAGAAAAGCAGAAATCTGACTAGTGAACTAGTGTCGTTGGAACGGTGGCAGGGAACACTATACGTAAAGTGGCTATTAATCAATCGGTCACTGGAAAGCGCTGGGCGCAGTCTGGTGGCACCAGCAGTACGGCTGTTGGTCCTACGGCAGCGGCTTCTTATACACCATGAGAACAGCGCCATCGCTGGTTGGCGGCAACGGTGACCAGCCGGCAAGAGCCATAAGTGAGTCAGTCCTTTCCCAGTTCGTCCACCTGTTTACTATATTTATTCACTAGGGATCGCCAAGCGGCCAGGCAAATGAGTGAATGAAAAAGCGCGTCAGTCGTTACCTGTACGCCGACCAGCGCGGAGCTCCTGTTCGACCGGCTGCTACACGCTGGTTAACTGTAACGTAGATATCAGTTGGTGGTCACGGTATGGGCCAGCCGTAACAAGTAACTGTAACATCCAGTGTAAAGGAGGACAGCAATTGCCGCGCCTTAGAAGGTTACCACTATGATAGAGTAGCTTATCAGGCTGCCTGCCTGCCTACCTGTATTCTCACTCGAATAATGATTATGTATGCTATGATCTAGTGGCCCGTGGATAGTCGTGCACAAGGTCCAGCTTTGTTTTGAAGTTCCGATATCAATTATTGCTTATCTGCTACGTTATATTTTCCCCCTGAGCAGAGGTGTCGTTGGGCTATAAGAAGACAACGGTGGCGCCACATAGCGGATTCCAGTGACCATAGTCACCTATTCCATTAACGGCAACATCAGCAGCGGCATCAATAGGCCGGTCGATCGGAGATGATTCGACTGCGACGATTTATTTGTTGTCGGACGGGTGGCCGCTTCTCCTAGCAGCGTAATCATCATCTTTGCCATCATCGGTCGCTGTGAGCATCGATCTGATCTTTCCGTGTCGGTACTCCTCACTTAATTTTTTCTAAACTAGCCTCGATCTGCTTGCTATGATACTCTATTGTTAGCTACTAGCTGCTGCCCTGCTAAAATGAAATACATCTTTTAAGAGTTAGAGCAACGGTGACGTGCCACCCACGACAGACAGACGACCGATCGTGTTGGTATCAGGTGCTACCCTCGTGGACTCTATTGAAAATAACCCCCGATATCACAATGATTGATTTAGCATGCTAGTGTTCATGTGAATGCTGCATGCCATATTTGTGCCCGTACTATTCAGCGTGAGTAGCTGAAGGACAATAGCTTTAGTTGCTACGTTTGGTGTGGTGTTATTAACTGTACCTATGCGTTCTGGCTGTTGATGCCTATTCGATCCTGAATACTGAAAGAATAATAGCTTTGTATGCCCACATACACTATAGAAGTTTGAGTCTAGGCGTGCAATGCTCGTCTGTGGAAAATTATGCTAATTCTGTGCATATATATATATATATATATAGTGAATCATATTAAGTTGCCGTGATAATCCACTGGCATACGTAGTATTTGCCTGCTAGTCTGAGAAGCACACAGCGGTCTAGGTTCGAATCCGCGTATATACCCATTTAATTTCGAGCTACAAATCAACCACCTGAAGAATTGTCTAACGGCTCAAGTAATACGAAAAACGTATTATACTAAGTATCCATACAACCTGTAGCGGAGCGCGGCGATTGCCTTACATACAGAGCGGTTAAACTGCTTCAAAAATTCTGTTTGAACCCCTGTTAGTCACTACATACTGGTACGGATCGTCAGTAGCAGAGGTGTTTTTATTCAAGTGTGCCGATAGTTACTCCACTATCTAATACGTACACTATAATGCACCCATCATGTGAATGCATGTCGCCGACTGCAAAACGTTTAATGCTGACGAGCGACAAAGCGCAGGGCAAACTCCCGCTACCCAGCTTGTTTGCCTGCCTATTTTCCGCTTTGTTGGTTTGTTTGTGTCGCGGATGCGATGTCACGATCCACCGCCAAAACCGCACGGCGTCCGCGCGACCACGGCATCGATACCAATATCTACCAGCACAGTAGTTATTATTACTATTCTTAGATCAATAAGCAGCCGAGCGGAAATAAAAAGCACCTACGCGAGCCTCAGAACCAACGTCAACATCTACGATGACAGTCGTTGATTAACGACTGTAGCGCTGGTGTTCGCGCACCAAAGCATCCCAACCCGTTCCACCGTCTTAATGCGCTGGTTCAATGAAATAGTAGCAGCATTCGTTGCCACCCTAGGAACCCCCAACAGCCGCTGGAAGAGCGGCAGTCGATCAGTAATTCATCCGTTTTACAAAGTCGCAGATGATGGTTGCTATTATTACTGTTGACAGGTTACAGCTTATCCAGCAGCCTACCTCCACCGCGACGCACTCATCTGCTTTTGTGAGCTTGGTAAGACGCCATGTCGTTATATCATCGTCACTCTTATGGTCGTAACGCGTTTGTAAAGCACAAGAATGTGGATTCAAGCTTAGCCCAGGCTGCGTCGAATGCGGACTTCAATCGTATTCCGAACCGTTTTTTTGTATTTTTTTTATTTTTTTCATTGTTATCAGAGTTTCTATGATTATACCGATTTTTTTATCTTCCTTTTCTGTGTCATCTAAATTACAATACGAGGCTTCAATAATGCCGGATGCGATGGGGTAAATAAAAAGGAAGGAAGAAAAGACAGCCAAAAATAAAGCAGTAGTCCATTCACAAATCCTTCAAGTGTCAACGAAACGGCGGCGTAAGGAATCAGCCGTGGAACGGCCGGATCAAGGGGCAGTTGAAAACAAACGAGAGATTTCATCGTAGAGTTTTAGGTTGTGTGTTACTACTTCGTTTCGACGTTATATTCGAAATTGTTCAACATTTGTCGATGGCAGCGCTGAGACACGGTGCTGAGAGCGCAGACGGTAGTGCTCGCGCACCTAGTAAAAGTCTTGTTTTGCGAAAGTGAGCGCATCATGATCCAAGAATCGCATCGATTCGTTTATTCATTTATCCATAGAACTATCTACAGGTCTGACTATTGTTTAGTGTATGGTGCAGCGGCGACAGCAATGCCAGTATGTGCGTTTGGTGGACGTGCGTCACCGTCGCTGTCTTCGGACACCACCGATATAACACTTTAGAGAAGCCGTGAAGTTTTTCAGATCTGTTTCACCCATCGTTTGTGTGGGAAGCTTATTGTGTCTGTCGGCCTATCTATCAGTCGATATTGTCGTTTAATCCGGTAGCTGTAGTATCATAAAGAAGTCCATTCGACGGCGGAAGTTGCAGTGGTCGCACAAGGCATATTAATAACTAGCTCAGATGCTACGTCATAAACCGTGTTCCCGACGGCAATTTCACAGTGAGATCTTTTAGTGGGCGAAATCTGTTGGCCCCATCGCTATCAACCGACCCAAAAAAATATTTGCCGACAACGTGTTTTTAGCTCTCGAAAGTGGAACTGAGTGTAGCTATTATGTGTCGTTGTGCTTCTCTTTGGATACAGTGAATGATATCATACTATGACCTTACTGAGTCATGGTATGACTTGAGAATAAGTTCCCTGTGCAAAAAGGCAGCGTAGGTCAACGATTGTCGGCGCCACGAACGAGGGATCAGGATTCACATAAGTAGTCATCTTTTTCTA